CCCTCAGATGAACCCCCCACCCTCCTGTCCTTCTGGTACACAGGTACAGCTGATATCTGAGTCACTTCCATCAAAATCAGAAGCCCTAGAAACCTTGGGGCTGACAAACAGGCATTTCTGTCTAATTTGCCAAAAGAAAAAATCTAAACATAAAAATTGAGCCTCAGGGACACAAAGACCAAAGTTGGGGCTACAGCAGAGCCAGGAGACTTTCATCCATACCTTGACAGGCCCTTATATCAGAATATGATTAAAAAGTGGAGTTATTTACTTCATAAGTGGCACAAACCTGAATGGAGTCAATTTTCTTTGTCCATTACATCTATAGGATATGTCTCTTATAATAAAGAATAATGAAGAAAATGCCACCAGAAGAGTAGTTTTTCACATCTCAGACTTTCCAACTGCATTCACAGTTTGCAATGCTAGCAGTAAAATTTGGAGTTTTTTACTTTTTTGATAGTTTTTCTGGATGGATCTGAGAAAATTATAGTATATTAAGCCCATTTTTATATCCTTTGATCTTCATGGATCTGTATAGGTGAGCAGCTCTCCATGTCCACCATTTGTCCAAAGGCAATCCATGTTTATCTATATGTGCCCATGTATCAGCTTCTCCTCAGCTGTTTTGACAGTGACCATATGCCCAGGTCTGAGTGTTCTACCTAGAACATGTCTTTAAGCCCATTTCTAGTAGGTATGATTCAGGGCATAAAAGATGAGTATGGAGTATGATTAATATAGACTAAGCCAAATCTTCATCTAGAGCATTGATTCAAAAACCCAGTGACTCGTCAAGTGCACCTTTGTCCAGCCTCCTCCCACCTATTTACAACTTCAACCATAATTCCCTGCAGTATCTTAACTAACAAAAATCAGGGTGCTATGGATTTCAAACAGCTCAGAAGGCTTGTAAGAGTATTTGGACTTTTTGGCTTAGAAGTGCCAGCTCCCATCCCACCCCACAACAGCATTGATCTAATGGATCTTAATGTTCTGTTTCTGTTCAACACGCAATGCTGCATTTAATCCAACTCCAAACCACCTCACTCTGGTCACCTGCCAGAAGGAACAGGAGGTCTGGATGTACAGAACTGCTCTGAACTGGGATGTCCCACTTGCTCGTCCAGCAGCAAGAATACAGACATCTCCTTGAAGAGTTCTCAGCAGTCTTTACTAAACTGTGTATCTACAGAGGACAAAATGTTTTGGTTTGATCTACAAGGTTTCTGGTACCTACTTATAGGCATCTGATTCAGATGTCTAAAGTAGAAGCTTAGCATTCCTGTATGCTCAAAAGAGAAAGAGGATTTATATATGCATAAACACATCACGCACATTATTCCTCTCAAGACCTGCTTCTGGCAGGCATACTATATATTAGGGTTGTGACCTAACTGTGGTTCTTATACCTCAGCTTCTTCTAAATTAACAGGATATGAATGGTACACAAAGTTAAGGATGAAGGGACAAATTCTACCAAATTACTTCAGTGTAAGTCCAGATTTCAAAAGTGCTACTTTGAGCTTATGTAGACATAACACAGAGGAATCAGGTCTAGAGGATGCTGTCAGCACTTTAACAGGATTATACTTATTTCACATTTCAGATGTCTGAATGAAGGCAAAGCAGTGACCTTAGAACCATTTACTGAGCTCACTGTTAATAAACATCACATAACAGGTCAAGGACTATAAAGAACTTATATCAGGCTCTTGGTATTTAACATAGACATATTTTACATTTTAGGCATAAAACATATTTACAATTTAACCTGAATTGTTCACTTTATCATCATGGAAAAGGGAATTCTGACAAACTAAAATATTAATGAGAAAGATAAGTTACTTCTACTGTCACAAAACAAGTAAAGGATTAATGATTGACTAGACTCCAGCAAAAGATTCCAGTGTGGTGGAGAAATACTGACTTTATGCAGCATGACAAGGGGTCATGACAAGGGGAACCAGAAAGCCATATTCAGTCAGAAGCACATTCAGAAAACCATCCAGATTCAACTACAAACCAGCTAAGGCTCCTCTGAGGCAACAGCAAACGGCAGTGCCTGTTTTGCCTAATCATGACTTTTGTGCATAAGATTTTAAAGATTCTTTGGAGGACTGGAAAGTGATTAGCTTCTGTGCACCAGCTGAATTGAGGAAACAGCTGCTGTATTCAAACAAATCCGGATAGTTCAGTGAGATAGAGGAGTTTAACATGCCATCGGATTCCAGCTACAATTAACTACTAAGTACATTCCTGTTAAGTAGCTACATTTTGTGCAGAAGATGTTAAAAGAGATTTTTAGGATGGCAGCTCCATCCATTCCCCAAATTCCCATACTTTGGGGATTTCCCCATCCAGTAGTCTGATGAAAAGAACTATTGCCAGTTTAAAGCACCAGTCATGTATATCATCACCATCAATTTAAAGTGCATGGCAGTATTTGCAGTGTTGAAAAGAAAAATATATCTAATGTTGTAATGACATTAGAGATCCATTTACGCTGCACGTTACTCCCACTCATCAGAGAATATTCAGGGGCCCTTTTCTCGCTTCAACTCCAGCTACATTTAATCCATGTGCTATTATGTATTATAGAACAACAATCCTTGCTACTTCAGTCAACTCAATGTCATTTCATTGCAGCATGTTTCCGTCATATCTCCGCAGTTTTTTTACTCAAAGGACTCATCGGGAAACTTTTGGAAAGCATTACACTGAAGGACTAGATTTATCAAAAGATTTGGTAAAGTAAGAAGAGATTGATCTCACCCAAATTTAGCCATTTAACAACCAGGCATCTGGGTTATACCAGGCAGCTAGCATCCTGTTATTGTCAGTGCAGGGTGATAGCTCATCTCCTGAGACACTTAACTGTAGCCTAAAAGAGCTGTTTAACATAGCTGTGATGAGTCTCTCTTGGAGAGGCTTCTCTCTTTCCATTGATAACTACTGATTCCTAGGTTTTACATGGTTAAAGTGAGACAAGATAAGTCCTGGTCAAAGTAACAAAAAGCATTTATCCATATGCAATCCAATGCAACATTTGTAAAAAGGTGCCAGCATCTTCTCATGGTCTTTCAATGGTGCCATCATCTTCTCCTGGCTTTTCAACTGTTTGAAAACATCAAAGAAAGGATTGTTGTTGTGCACGCCGCAACCAGATCTGTTTCGCAGATAATGTCGTCATCATCTGTGCTAATGTACCAACCCGATCAACTAAATTAGAATCGCCTGCATTCCTAAAACGGCCATCTCAACTGAATTCAATAGAGAAACGGCGACAGATGGTGAAGAGCAGAGCTGCTGTGGTGGCGCAGCTCAGCTGGAGCAAGGAAGTACCATGGAGAGTGTTCAAGGAAACCGCCTCGCTCGCAAACTCCGGACAGCTAAGCAAGTTTTCCAAATGTTGGTACTTCTCCAAACTAAATGGCAAACCTTCATAAAGCTTGCAGATCACTACTAGCAGACTGTTAGTCTTTCGCAAGAGTTAAAGTTTCAAGTCTTTAGCCAACAGCAAGCTGTTACCAAACGAATGCCTTCTAGGCATAAGTCACACCTAATTTAGCAATCTGAGCAAAGCAAGAAGTGGTGAATTACTATTTGGAACAAGATCTATCGCATCAGTCCCAGCTCTGTGTTGTCACTCAGCCTCCAAACCGAAATGCTTTATTCTGACGGGCTGGGTACACTACACTGACACTCCAATAAGCTTATTTTTAAAATAAACAGCAGGTTTCCACTTTCAACACTGCAGTCACTCACTGTACAGTCGATTTTATACACAATTCCCACAACATTCTTTTCTAGATAAAATGGCATTTACACAAAGAAAAAAGGTGCAAGATGTGTATTCAGTACAAATTGCTGCTTAGAGGTATTTGTAACCTCATGCTTGATACCGAAGGCAAATCTCTGCAACCTGACTCACAGTTTTGTGGGATTTTTAAACAAATATTTATTGGCTTTATATGGGCTCTGATGTTTGTCTTTTTCTTTGACAGAAGTGTAAGCATGTTTGCTGTGCTAACCTGCACATTACCCTTCCCAGTGGAACCTTTTAATATCAAGCAACTACATCAAAAGATGTTAACTGGAGAAATCAGCCCTATTCTATCAGATATCTCCCCTGGTAAAGCACTCCAATTTTTATAAAGAATACTAATGTATAAAATGTCTAACTCAGGTAATAAAGTGAATTTTGCAATGAAGTAATCGTCTGGAAAATAAAAGGAACCTTTTCCAGTTGCCTTGTTTGCATTTACAAACAACTTTTGTGTGCCTTAGGTAAGATTTCTTTATCTCAGGCTAGTAGGAAAATAACATTATTGCCTCTTCAAAAGACCACTATTCTTGCTTCTTATTTACAGGGGGAATAAAATGTACATTGCTTTTACTTAAGTGGAGCAGCTGTGCAGTAAATGAGAACACTGCCATGTTTAGTATGTCCCATGCTGTGTGTCATAGCCAGGCATTCTTTCCTGTTTTTCCCAAAAATAAGTTATCAAAACCTTAGATATTTTTTCCTGAAGAGCTTATCTTTTGGCTACAGACAGAACCCACAACACTGAGATAATTAAAGAAATGGGAGGGCTATTTTTTCTGTTCATATTTTTAATGAGAAAGAACTGAAATACAATGTTTTTCAGTGAATTTTGCTGACAATCTTTAATGAGCTACAGTCTATGGAGTCTTTTAGGACAACTGGGAAAGGCAGTTCTCAAAAGCTCCAGACTGCATTACAGCCCATGGCTCAAAAACCCAGAAGTCTTGTTGGTGTATACACACGCTGGGTCAGCAGTACAAATGCTACTTCCTCAAAGCTCAGAATTCTGCTGTTTTACAATGATTCCTACACACCTCTGGCTTTAGTCCCTATTTTCTCTCCACCTGGACTAGCACCTTCTTTGTTGACCATCACAGGCTTGGACCCCTTCTCGTAGCCATTATCCTGCAGCTTCACTGACCAAGTCAGAAAACGGAGCAGAACAAGGCATGTTTTGCCCAACTACCTACCAGCATGAGTTCAGATCTCCCCATCATTTTGAGCAGCTTTGCTCTGACGTTAGGCAAGAATGAGCCTAGGAATCAGCTTCAGTGGCTGCCTGCAACCAAGCGCTGGGAAGCAGCAGACAGTTCCAGACTAAGCTAGCTGGATCTAGTCTGGAGTTACAGTATTAAGATAATGTGATGATTCAATTTCTTTTTCTCCCCCAGTAAATGGTATGAGGATATCTACCATAGCTGTCCAGAACATTTGTACATTAGTCTCTCATTTATCATTCTTTGGAGATTGGTTGCCAGATAGCAGCTGCATTTTTCTACAAGCCCTCCATAGCTGCAATTATTATATTTCTATTTTTCTTATTTATGCTATTGTTATAGCTCCTACTAATAAATGCATTATCTCTGCTTTTCTACAAAGCCCACACAGTTAGTGGAAGATTGTGGATAACTCCATTGTTCCCTTGCCCATTGGGAATTTAGTGAGGGAGCAGTAGTAAACAAGCTTTGCATACTTTAGATCTAAGTTCTTCTGAAGGAGATTACAAGTGAAAGGGGCAGTGTGTTCCCAGTTCAATGCTCACTTGCTATTTTGCTCATTTCAAAACATCCCCAAGGAACATGGGAGAATTCAGTAGAGTTTTCCCTAGAAGAAAAAAAAAAAAAGAGAGGGACTTTATGCAGTGTTGGAGCTGAGTGATAGACACATGGGAATGCTTGAGCTTTCTCTGTCCCAACTCCAGGAAGCCAAAGCACGACACCGTCATTTGAGCACATGGGTCCGTCTCCCTCCCTCGAGACAGAGAGTTTTATCAATGAGATTAGATTCTCTGTGTGAGGAACATAACTCCTGGGTAGTAGGCTGGCACAGAAGTGCCCCTTCTCAGAGCCTTGATCAAAGGCAGAGTGAGCACAACGCTGAGATTGCTATCAATGCCATAAGATGCATTCACTGGGGGAAATAAAACAAATTAGGAATCATAGAATCATAGAATCATAGAATGTTTTGGGTTGGAAGGGACCACTAGAGGTCATCGAGTCCAACCCCCCTGCAGTCAGCAGGGACACCGCCAACTGTTGAAGTCCCCCAGCAGGACGAGGGCCTGCGAGCGCGAAGCCTCCCGGAGTTGGAGGAAGAATGCTTCGTCAGTCAGCTCCTCTTGATCTGGCGGCCTGTAGTAGACACCAACCACCAGGTTCCCTTTGTTGCCTCTCTCTCTGATTCTTACCCATAAGCTTTCGACCTGCTCGTGGCTATTCTTCAGGGACAGCTCTTCACACTGTAATGATTTCTTGATGTAAAGGGCAACGCCCCCGCCCCTCCTTCCTCGCCTGTCCCTTCTGAACAGCCTGTAGCCATCAATAGCTACATTCCAGTCATGGGATTCATCCCACCAGGTTTCTGTAATGGCAACCAGGTCGTAGCTTTCTAGCAGCATGATTGCTTCCAACTCCTCTTGTTTGTTTCCCATGCTGCGTGCGTTTGTATAGAGGCATCTCATCTGAGCTGTCGGCCTCATCACCTTCATAGCAGTAGGAAGCGAGGATCAGTGCTGTATCTATAGCAGCATCCACAGCTCCATAGCATGCCTCCTGGCATGGTTTGGCCCATGCTGCCCACCCTGCTCAGGCACCCTTCAGGGAACAGGGTCACCACATGGGACCAGAGCAGTCTCAGAGGAGAAACAGGGCACTTTTATTCAGCAGTCCAGAGGTAGCCCTAAAGACTGGATTTTAGCTGAGGTTTTTACAATGTGGAGAAGCAGGATAAGTGCCACATTTCTGAAAAAGCGAAATTTTTACTGCCCAAATAATCAGATATTACTAGTAAATAAGCAGCTTCACCTGAATACTGCGCAGGAGCTGTACACTTCATTCAGTGCTTGCTGGAACCTGACCCTGCTAAGAGGCCTGGAGTCAAAGAAGCAATAAAAGACAAATGGTTGAACGAAGGCTTCACCAGGAAAATACTGAATGCTGCTACCTATGAGAACAGGTAACAAATTTCACATCTCTCCTCTATCTTGGGATTTCAGGATTTGGGATTGGCAGGGGGCGGGGGAGTGTTGGGGTTTGTAGAAATTCTTTTGGTTGGTTTGGTTTAGAAGATTTTTGTTATCTGCTCACGGCTGTTCCAAAATGACAGAATTTTATTTCAGAAAGCACCACATCAACCATGGATAAATTTTATATCCTTATAGAACTGCTTATATCCATTGTATCAATAATTTTGTTCTCAGGATGCCTCACTGGTACCACTAATTTCTAGACAGTGTGCTTCTAATCCTTTCCTGCAGAACTAGGTCCTGCATGCCCACCTGAGGGAATGACATTTTTGTATTACACTGAAGTTCTTGTTATTCTAATAATTTTTATTCTGATCCATCTTTGTAACTGGCCTTAACTAGGCTCCATTTTTTCTTAGCAAGTCACTTTACAGTTTAAGATTATTATAAAAGTTTGAAATAGATATGTGCAGTGTGACACTTCGCATAAGCATTGCCAACTTTCAAGATGTTATTCATCTCTCATAATGCGAGGCTGAAAAGTATACTTTGCACCTCTTTAAATACTTAATTTTAGTGATGGACCTTTTACTTCTTCCTCCCAGCTGAAAGCAGCTAGTCACAGGTCAAACATTTTGTGCCCAGAACATTCTGTAAAAATCAATAGTTTACACTAATTGAAAAAGAAAGTTATTTGGCCTATGTAATCGGCACCATTAGCAATGGTGTCTACAGGACACGTGGCAGGTTTTCCTACCGCAATCCAGGCGATCCGCTGCTAGTCACAGCCAGGGCTGTTAGAAATCTATCTGCAATTTGTTCATTGCTCTGAGAACTGCCACTGTTCCTACCTTTGCCCTCCGTCCCTCCCTTCAGATGTGTCTGTGCCCATTCATACTTAAGTTTGACAAGTTTGAAAAAATGTCTTAGGAGTCTCAGAATCCAAGGCTGGCGTATTTTTAAAATGCCTTTACTAGCCTTTCCTACTCACAGAAGCCTGTCAGTAAAACAATTCTCATTATAACATGACCAGTTTTATTTCACAATCATCTGATTTATATAAAAAGTAAAGAGTGCTCCTGTACTTTCCTTAGTTCTTTTTTTGTCCTTTGAGATTTTCCTGCTTTTGGGGCTCTTCCTGTCTTCTTACGCAAATGCATACACACTATCTCTCTGTTGATCCATATGAGACTTAACTGTACTGGGAATCAAAATATAGACACTTGATTAAAATGAGAAAATGATGGTTTCCATCTTTTAGTTTTTCAAGCTTAGTCCTGGTGGGTGTCCTTTCAGAGTAATCAGTTCTATCAACAATAGGATATTTAATAATGCAGCAACAGAGCCTCAGCCCAGCAGTGAAATTAGCGTAGCCAGACAGGATTTTTGCACAACTGTGTATCACAATTTGCCTGTACAACCGACTGAGCCCACTCCAGCTACATCACAAGAAGCGTCTTGTCCACTTACTGTAAATTCTGAGGTTGTACCTGGATGCATCATTTGTATTTAAATACTTTTTCCTAATATTTCAGACTTTGCCCCAGTGAACTGAATCCCGTTGTTTTAAACTACATGACAGAAATAATGGAGTTCAGTCTTTCTGAAGTTATCAACATTTTAATAAATAACAGACCCTCTCCTGCCATGGCCTCTTATTGCTTATTGCTGAAGAAACTGCTCAGGTACCAGAAAGACCGCAAAAGAGCCCAGGTAAGAAATCATGCTCATGACAGGCATAAATCCATGCCACTGGATTCTTGTGATGAACACCGGAACAGCCACACAGCACATGTGAAAAAGGTGGTTGTCCATGGAACGGAGGTAAAATTCACCAAAAATAGTAATGAAATTGCAGATCTGGGTACAGTCTTGGGAAAACTACCTTCTGGCATTCTCAGAGGTGATTATTTTAAGAGATTTTTTTTCCCTGAGATAAGCATGCCTTTTTTTACGACTAATGAATTTTAAAAACAGGGTGCTGGTTGTAATGGGATTGAGAATTATTTTGCTTTACATAAAAGATTACTTTTCCTTTGGGAAAAGGAGCATTAGCATCTCAGTGACCGCACCATCCCTTCCCTTTCTGACTGGTCTGTGAGGGCCTGATCCAAAGTCGGGGGAGGTGAGTGGGAAGCTGTGAAAGTTGTAAAATCTTTTCCCAGCATCTTTTTTTGTATTTTTACCACTGTATCTTATGCTCACACTCCAGCTCCGACTCACTCTGGGACATGGAGTGAGATCAGAGGGGACAAAAATTTAAAAAATAAGTTCAGAAAATTATGGTAATCTCTGGTAAGGCTACAATTAGTTAAAAAGGCTGTAAGCTTTTCTTTTACAACCGTCTCCACTAAGGGGTTCACAGCTCAGTCATAAAAATTTTGCTTCAGGCAGAAACTAGGCAGACAGGAAGCCAAATTCCAGCTTCTAACACACAAGTGCAATGGGAAAAGTTTCAGCTACAAAACAACACACATCAGCGGTTAGCCTCCCATTCAAAGCCTTCACCCCGGAGAAGCTGTATTTTGAGAAGGTCCAGTTGACTCCTCTAGAAATTATTCAGATGAGCTTGAGCAGATCCAGATCTCCATCCCAGCACACAGCCCCAAGGTCGCAACAGCCTGTGCAGTGTTTGCAGACAGAGCCATAACTCAAAAATATGAGTTGGGGAGAGTGTGTGTGTGTGTGTGCATGCTTAGGGGGAGGATGCTTTCCTTCATATGTGTGATTTTTTTCATATTATAATTTTAAATTGGATCTGGTAAATCGTAAGTCACTCAAAAAGAGCCTTATTGTGAAGGCTATCGACCAGCTTTCTTGAATCTCTGGGTATCAAGCTGATTTACAGCCCCTAGAGATCTAGCCTTCCAGGCAAGTGGTAGCATTTCACGTCCTCTATGACCTCTTTCGGCATCCTACCCTGGTGGAAGAGGGAAGCAATCGTGTGCATAAAGTAAGTTACAAGCTGATTAAGGGGCTGACTTGCTTCCTGCCACTCCTGGCATCCAAAATGCCCTCTTAAGGCACAGAGTCAAGCTGAATTCAAGCACAGACCCCCAAATGGCTCTGATTGTAAGGTAATAACACCACAAATTATTTTTTTTGAAGTTCCAGTATATATATATTTCCAAGGCAGGCTGGAGGTTTTGGTAGAGCAAGGAGAGAAAGAGGCAAAGTTTAACAAAGGAAAGACTGACATTCTCTTTCTCTGTGTTGACATTTTTCTAGTCAAAGATTTAAACCCAAGCCAGTACTGACTCAAAACAACCTGGCCAGCTACCAGCTCAAAACAGTGGTGATTTTCACAGAATCACAGAATCACAGCCTGGCTAAGGTTGGCAGGGGTCTCTGGAGGTCATCTGGTCCAAACCCCTTGCTCAAGCAGGGCCACTTAGAGCTGGTTGCCCAGGACCATGCCCAGATGGCTTCTCAATAACTTCAAAGGCGGAGACTCCACAGCCTCCCTGAGCAACCTGTGACACTGCTTGGTCTATTGCTTCTAATTTCATTACTAAGACATAGAAATTAGGAAATTAGAACAGACCAATTCATACCATCTTTCCATGTTGTTAAAAGTTTGTTTCCTCTTGTTTGTTAGCACAAGGTTGGTAAATGCTACCTTTAAACTCATAAACACAAAGCCTGCTACTAGTGCCATTTAGAGATTATTCTGTTATCAAAGAGTGTTTGCAAACCTCATAGTTTTTTCCCCAGGTAGTCACTCTACATCATTTGTTTCTTAATTTCATCTCTCTACTCCCTCCTATATCATTCTGTATTATGAAAATTAATATTTCCTCCTTGCTAGTAGTCAGGCTCTGCAACTATTTGCAGTTAATCATGATCACCTCTCCATTGTTTCTTGTTCACGCCTTATTCACAATTAACCTGTGCAATCAATCCTCCCCGGGAGCTCTTTTAAATCATGACTATGAGTGCTACCACCTTATGCCAGTTCCTCCAATGTTCAATAATATTCGTATTGCTCAGAAAGACTTGGGTCTGGGCAAAAAGAGGGGAGAGAGAGGGGAAGGCTGACTGAGAAATCAAATTGGGCGTTCTTACTCAATGCTCTTATTTTTCCAGTACACTCTGGCCTGTTCTTCAGCAAAAACTACTTTATGCACATGCTTACACAATGGCAAAACTTAGCCCTAAGCGTATGCAAAGTATATAGGGAAAAGAAAAGAATGCATAATGCATCTCTTGGATCCCCAGGCAGAGCCCCACATGGGCAGCATGACGTTTTTGGGCAGAGGCAGAGCCAAGAGCAGCCCCCAGCTCCCCTGGAGCCTATCCCACACTGCGCTGCTGTGGCTCTCGGAGGAGGCAGCTGGCAGGGCATTATCTTGGGGGGAAGATTCTTTGTTTTGGTCTAAAAGAGGCCAAATTCAACCACCTATTTGGCAGGCTGCTATGCACTTCTCCGACCACCCGGCCACAGAGAGTTGAAACTGAGGAAGGAGCATAAAGATTGTTAACAGAGTGCAAGGGGGAAGTTTCCCACTTTTTATTCATCTTCTTGTTGAGATCCTGATAATGTTACTGGAGCTTAATTGCAACAGCATGGGTATTTGATATTTGTATTGCAAATTATGCCAAGGATATTTCAAAATGCATAGATAGATGTTCTTCCTAGTCTGTATAACGCCAACTATTTGCTATTTATTACTAGCAGTGTGTGATCCATCATGAAATCACATAATTTCCTTTCAGCTCTCCAGATCTTGCAAATGTATGCATCAGCTTTAACTTTCAGTATATTAATAGTTTCACTGAGCTCAACAAGACAACTTGTGTGCATAAAATTAAAGCACAAAAAATTAGCATTTGCATCTAAATGAATGCAAATTTAAATCTAAATGAGTGAAACAAATAAGGAAAAACTAACAGTCGCAGATAAACGAAGTACTCTGAGAACAAACTGCCGTTCATTTACAATATTTCTATCTAGGACTGTAAAGAATATTGCATATTCTTGTCTGCCTATGAAAAGAGATATTTACAGACAGCCAATGTTTATAAAGGAGTAAATTTCTGGTCAAAAAGTACTCCAGTATTTTTGAACAAATTAAAAACCTCCCCTCCC